AACCCCTAAAAATAAGTTTTGGTTGAACATAAAAAGATTTAGGTATAAAGTAAATTATATTTTACTCTCTTTATCTTATGTATCGAATTTTTTTAACCTTTTTGACTCTTAAAAAAACTTTATGAAAAATTGTTTATTAAAAAAATTATTCTAAAATTGAAAAAATTAATGATTTGAATGATCTTTCAAATTCTCAAAAATAATTGCCATATCTATAATTATTTCAACCCTTAAAACTATTGTTAAATAAAAACAGTTAATATTTATAATTACATATTTGAAAATTATTTAATTATAGAATAAAATCAGAGTTTAACATAAATAAAAAACAATAATTAGCAAGAAAAAGACCTTGTATTTTTATCTATATACTTTCATACGAATTTTTCATTCTTTCTAAGGTATAATGAAAGTTAGTTGTTTTTTTAAAAAAAATTGATTTTTTTTTTCATGAAATCGTAAGGTTTTTCAAAACTGTTTGTACTAAAGTTGTGGTATATGCCAGAGTCTATCAAAATTTTTGTACCAAGTTAACTGTAGATAGTAAACGATTAATTTTCAGGCACTCATAAAACCGTTTGATTTAAATGAAAAAAACATTGTATGCAAATTGTTACAAACAATACTTGTTTATCTATGTTTTAAAGCTTATTTCGAGCACTATAAAAACCCATTTCTGGAATGTATAAAATGTAACACCTAGCCGCTAAATGGCTCCAAATACAACAATTAAATCTTGGAAGAAATAAAAAACAGCTTTGCTTTTTCATATCTAGCTTAATATTGTTCCTAGAACACTTTATTAAACACCGATTTATTTAATTGAAATAATTTTTTTTATTTAATTTTGTTCGTTACAAAATTTTCGCTAAAATGTATATTTTTGGAGATATTTGCAAAAAAACCATGAAAAACACCAAAATGAAACAAATTTTTAGTAGCTAGTAACTCGAAAAATATTTGTTTTTTTTTTTAACTTTATAAAGCTTTTTTCTTATAATTAGTTCTTCTATACGTCTTTATTTTAAAAAAAATAGATTTACACCATTATGGAAGGGTTGTCATCTCCCCGGAGTCCAAATTGTTTTCACTATATTGTTAGTTATATTGTTCCTAGAACACTTTATAAAACACCAATTTATTTAATTGAAATAATTTTTTTTTATTTAATTTTGTTCATTAAAATTTTTTCCCTAAAATGTATATTTTTGGAGATATTTGCAAAAAAAAACGATAAAAAACACCAAAAAGAAACGAATTTTTAGTAGCTAGTAACTCGAAAAATATTTGTTTTTTTTTTAACTTTATAAAGCTTTTTTCTTATAATTAGTTCTATACGTCTTTATTTTAAAAAAATAGATTTACACCATTATGGAAGGGTTGTCATCTCCCCAGAGTCCAAATTGTTTTCACTTTTGAACTTGAAAACGAAAAATTCCCAATGATCTCATAAATTTGTAAACGCTAACATTATTATTATTATTATTATTATTATTATTATTATTATCTTACTATTTTTATTATTGTTATTTTGTTATATTTTATTATTTTTCTAGTATTATTTTATTATTCAGAAATTTTATTTATATTATTTATTAATTTTATTTTTATTATTATTTGCTTGTATTTTATATCAAATCATATGACGGATATTATTTTCATGTAAATTCTATCCTTTGCACTTTTATTTATTTAAATTTATGTTATTATTTATCAATATTACTAGATGTTAATAATTTAACAGTTGTAATACTTATTGAAATTAAAAAAAACTTTTGAAATTGAGGGTAAAATGAACCCATTTCCAAAATTTCATGCAAATTGGAGCACAGTAAAAAAAATTCAGACCCAAAACGCTCTATTGACTGGAGTATTATTAATTACCTCGGTTTTGAAATTAACCACAATATTATTCAAAGGGGCCACCAGGTGCTACAGGTTCGATGGGAGCTCCAGGAATGCCTGGTCCACCAGGACCACCTGGACCAGTCGGTCAACGTGACTCTCTTGATTTTGTCCTACTGGCACTAGCAGATGCTCGACACGATTTGGTGGCTTTACAAAAGCGAGTTTTTGCTGGAGAACGGTACGATATAGAATAAAAATATAAAATTAAGGGACCGATTCTGCCGCATAACAGACCAATGTTATGGCAAGGCCATGTTATGAAGAACTTTCCGTACTAAATATTGACAGAAGCCATGTGGTTGGTGTGCAGTCAGGCATATTTCTCACGTTGCCACATATAAAACCCAACCTAGAACACGCACAAATGTCTAAAAAACTATTAGGTTGTCAAATATCTCCCTTCCGCTGTTTTGCTCTTGCTCTCATACAAAAAGGCGGAAGGGAGATATTTGACAACCTTATATCCTAGATAACATGGTCTTTCTGACCCAGCTTCATAACATACGAGTGGCGTTGCAGTTTATGTGTAAAACGCCTGAATGCCCAGCAAACACATAACATTTTGAAATTATCCATTATGATTCAGTAGCATAATGTATGCAAGTTAGAGCGTAACATAGCCTTGACACAACATTGGCCCATAAGTTTTTTTTTTTCTATTTATGTAGAATTCCAAGATTCGACGTAAGATTGGCCCTCAGACGACAACGCATGAAAGAAAAACAAAAGATTAGGCAAAATAGAAATTTCCAATCAGGTGTAGGTGATGCAAATAGTGCAGCATTCAATGATGATGAACAATTTTTTGTGAAAGATACAAAACATCTGCAATTAGAGGATGTTTCCAATGAATCAATGTTGTCATTTGAAACTGCAGAAGAAACCCTGTGAACATAATCTTAAGAAATATATATATATATATATATATATATATATATATATACAGGGCCGGTCCTGCCTTGCGTGCAAAAAAATGCGGGCGCACGCCTTAGGGTGCGCCAAAACGACTTTCGGAAATTAAATTTATAATATAATATTTATATTTTTTATATAAAATCTAGAATTATTTATTTAAAATGTAGAATACTTAATAAATTATGATAAATATTTATATTTTTAATTTTATTTTTTAATGTGATATCAGTAGAAACAATTAACCGATTAATAATTCATTCTGCAAATTAGTAAATAACAGCTCTGTTTATTGCTTAATCTACTTATTCAATTTTTTCTTTGTTTGAAGTTACCGTGGAATCGAAAAATAAATTATCTTATCTGCGAAAGATTAAATTAATTGTTGGGCATTATCGACGAAAAATTGCGAGCTGATTTAATTGAATCGGAGTTTGTTAAAAAAATATAGACAAATTATTAAAAATGGGGAGTCAGTACTTAGAAAATGACTTGTTTATTCAGAGAAATTGAATTGCAACTTTTACTTTTGTTGCAAATGTTTCGCATCTGTTGAACTTCGAACGTTGAAGACATGCGTGGAACAAATATGAAAAATTGAAGCAAAATTTACTTGGGAACGAAAATCTTAAGGCTTGTTTTATACCTAGTGGTGTCCATACTCTAAATTCAATAATTATTAACTATACAGAAATAATACATATCAAATATAATTAGTTTTTTTTTTCAATATAATTCAAGAAATGTGTAATTTCTTTGCATTTTTCACTGATTTTTGAACAATATTTCGAAAATACGTTAAAAATTTAACTTTAAAACAACAAGCTGATACTCTGAATATGACGGCTCTTACAATATCAATAAGGAGAAGTTTACGACGCAATTTTGGATATTGTAAATTATGAAAAATTAAATTAAATTAAAATTTAAAAAATCCAACATGAAAAACTAGTGTTATGTTTGAAAATGAAATGCTAGTTTTTTTAAATATTAAAATTGCACATACGTTAAAAATAATTGAAAATTTCAAAGTACTTGATTATAATCAACCCCCGAATCACCTCGATTTTCTAAATAAATTTAAAATCAATATATTTTATACGCTTTTAGATTATATCTAATTTTTTGTGCACTAAGTCCAGAATAATTAAAAATTTATTTATTTATTTCACTTAATATTTTTGTTAAATTAAAGTTATAGAATTTAAGAAATGCATTTCAGAAACAGTATTTATTATTTTGATATCAAGATCTTTATATCAAAATAATAAATACTATTTCTGAAATGCATTTCTTAAATCCTATAACTTTAATCTAACAAAAATATTAATTCTTTTGCTATGGCAGTCGAACTTACATCCTTAACCAATTTACGGGGGATTACCTTACCTTATTTATTACCTTATTATGGCGGGGATTGTTTTATTTATTGATATCGATAATAATAAATAAATTTAAAATCAATATATTTTATACCTTTCTAGATTATATCTAATTTTTTGTGTACTAAATCCAGAATAATTAAAAATTAATTTTTAAAAAATATGTAAATATTTATATAATTTTAATGATAAACTGCGCTAAGGAAAAAAAGTTGCATGCGGGCGCGAAGGACCCCAGGATATATATATATATATATATATATATATATATATATATATATATATATACAAAAAAAATATTTTCCGAATGAGAAGCAGTACATTCTAATACTTAATTATATTATCATAAAATATTACAGAAGAATCATAAAAAATAAATTATATTTAGATGTATCATTAACTTCTGTAAAACTCCACACAATATCTATATCTTTATACAATTTTTATATTCTATATCTAGAAAAATAAAATTAGAGCATAATAAAATCTCAGAAAATTGATTTTTTTTTTTTTTATAATATTTCAAATTAATTTTGATCTATAGCAAAAGTAATGTGATTTACTAAAAACTAGAATCATGATATAAAAATATAAATATAGATATAGTCTTAAATTTATTCTTACATGAGTCTTAAAATATATTAATCACATCAATACTATAAAATAAATTAATTAATTCCCTATAGTGCATAATTTTCAATTCAATCAAGTAATATTATTATGATGATAAATAATTTACAATATTCGAACTAAAAATATATTAAGTACCTTTTCGGTTAAAATATTTCGAATCACTGTAGGAAAAGTGTCCATACCTTATTTCGTTAATGAGGTAAAATACTTTGTGTCATTATTGGGTACGATATAATTGGTTGTGAGGCATTAGACATCGCCAAGGCCTGGGAAGTGTTATGGGCAAGACTTTGTTGGGCCATTGCCAGCTGCTGTCCTGGACCACCTGGGTAAAAAAAATTAATTAGTAGAAAGTGGCATTTGGCCTTAAGGAGGTCTTCCTATGTGATGGGTTGAAAAAATCGATTTTTTTTTCATAAATTGCTCCCTTAACATGTCTAGAATACGGTAAGTAAGTAAAGCGATTTTCGAAAATTCGAAGTCGTTTCAAAGATACAGCAGGTAAAAGAAAGAGCGGTTCGGAGCGCTGAGTTGGCAGTTAGAAACTTTAAACGCGTTTTTCTCAAAACTGTGTTTTTCAAACTTTCCTCCATTGTATCTCAGAAACGGCTGGAACGAATTACTTGAAATTTACAGGGCACACTCAATATATTTAAACGCATGGAATGAACTATTATCAATCGAAAATTTTAAAAACTTCGATTTTTTTATAGTAAAAAACAAAAAAAAACGCCTAATTTGCAACTTTTATTTCAAATGTCTATCAAAAATCCAATTTTTTTCATATTTATTTGATTATAGGTCATTTCGTGCTTTTAAGCCTACAAATTAAAACGCTGTTTTTTTTTTTTTTTTCGGATAAGCCGGTCAGCCGGAATCGTAGAGGAAGTGGGAGCTCTTTTTTTTCGAGGCGGGGGTGTTCAGAGCGCTGTAACTCTAGTTTGACTGAATATTTTTAGCTGAAATTTTACATTTATACTGTCCAAAGATGTGTTAATAAATGATAAAAAACTTGAAGCTCTAAATATTTACTGGTCGTAAAAAAAAAATCCTAAAATATCCCTAAAAAGCAGGCCGTCACATAGGAAGACCCCCTTAAGGCAAGTTGCATAAACTTCCCGGAATGTGTAATAATTGACTTAAGCAATCGAAATTGAAATTTAGATATTTAGTTAAAATTAGTCAAATGCATGATTACGTATATCATGTACGTAGCCCTTAATATTATTTAATTTTTAAAAAAATTATTGATAACATTTTTTACACAACTAGAGAAGTTTTGCAGACCTATATTTCCAGTTATGTTCCCAAAAAATGGCTTTTAAATTTGTGGAATTAAAGTCATGGATATTGTTAATATTTATACGTGAATAAAACATTGCTTAAAAATCATTGGTTTCGTTAATGTTACGTAAACATTGCGCATAGTTATGAATTAAAATTTAATAGTATAGTTATAAATTACTATTTAAGGTATAATTATTTTAGTATATTATTCAATAAGTAAGCTGCAAAACTCAATAATATTTTTTTTATATAATAATAATAAAGTTCATATTAATAGAACATTTCACAAATTTAAAAATTTCAAAACCAAATAAAAAAAAAACATTGACAAATTTCTCGTAAACATACACATAAGTTGTTTGTAGAATACGCTCGTCGCCCAATTTAAAAAGCACTTATAAATTTACAGTATGTATTTATAATAAATAATCTATTTGAAAATATTCAAAACAATTATTGATTATTTTCATTTCTCGAATGTTTAATCACGGTACGTAAGTTCCAGCAATTTACCTTGGCACGATATACCAAGCACCACTAGTTTTTAACTTCCTATGGGGTAGTTATAGTAATGGGCCGAAAATCGAAAATGAAAATTCTTGCATTTCTCGACGTTTTGAAGGTTTCTGAACATTTCGGCATACCTCAGAAAAAATGGATGTGTGTGTGTGAGTGAGTTTTGTATGTCGCATTTTTTTCGTCCACGTTTTCGGGCGCACGGATCAACTGATTTGAATGGTTTAAAAAACATTCGATTCCTATTGATAGGGAGATTTCCTGATTAGTTTTTGACAAGCAGGTCCAGCCGTTACGGAGATATGGAGCAAAGAATGCAGAAAATAGAAATCGAGTTTTTGAGAGAACGGATCATCCGATTTGTATGATCCAAAAAACATTCAGTTCGTAATGACGGGGAAAAGTGGTTATTAATTTTGGCAAAGGTAGGCCCAGCGGATTCGGAGATACAGAGCTCAATGTTAAAAAAATGGCAGTTTTTGAGAGAACTAAGTGTCCGATTTAAATGATTCAAAAAACTTTCTGCTCGTTTCAACAAAATAATTGCTTTTGGAAAAAAAAAATTTTTGTTTCTAATTATTTTTTTTTTCAAAAAATATTTTTGTAATTTTGGATTAAAAAATCAAAAAATTGCCCAGGCTAAGCACAGTCTAAGCGCCACTCTGTTACAAATGTTTACCCAAGTGCGTTTAGACTGTTTATGTACTGGAACACTTTTCCAATTTTGTGAAAACTATTGAAAAATGTGAAAATGCCACCAAGTAAGCACAATATAAGTGAAAATGTCGCACAGAATTATTTGCAAATGCGTTTAGACTTTGACTATACGGGAGCACTTTTTCAATTTTGTGAAAATTAAGGCAACTACTTTTTTTGAAATTGAATTCGAAATGAAATGACGATTGTTAATGTTCTAGAGATAAATTGACTTATTTATAATTTACATTTGATTTGCTCAGATATAACAAGATACCAAAATTACGAAAGTTACAGTATTTGTAATATATTTGAAAACGTTTAAAATTTCTCGAATATTTCATTACGGTACGGAAAGTTCCAGCAATTTTCCTTAAAGCACAATGCCATGCACCACTAGTTTTATTTGTAATTTCGAAATCTATTTTATCTTCTATTCTATTATTACCTATAGGTGTTAAAATCTGCTGTCCCGTCGGCTGAGCGTTGGACAAAGTCAGTTGAGTATTTGAAGCAAGTATTTGCTGCTGCGTTGAACTTGTGATTATCTGATTCGGAGCAGTAGCTGGCCCAGTCAGACTCTGCTGCGCCAGCGCCAACTGCTGCGAGTTACTTGCAATTGCTATTGGCGCACTGTTGGCTAGAGAAAAGAAAATATTTTTTAAATACGATGATTTTGTAAGATAAACTCAATTTTTGTATACATACCAATAATTTGTGTTTGAGGTGTAGCCATACTAACTATTGGTGCCGCAACCTGAACTGGTGCCATGGAAACTGCGCCTATTGAGACTGGAACAGTTGCCACACTGGCAGTCACCGTCCTGATAACCTGATAAATGAAACAGTAGTCTGTATTCAATATATATATATATATATATATATATATATATATATATAAATGTTCAGTACGAAAATAACTGATTGCAAATGTGGTGCATAAAGGAAAGGAGCAGCTAACAATAAATATATGAATGGTTTACCCACTGCAAAGCAATCCACATATAAATGTATCTTAATAGTCTTTGCAGGAGCCAACCTATTCTGAAACTGTTTCTATTTAAATTGAATTGGCACATTAATGTTTCAAGATTTTGATATATTATTACCGCGCTTTTTATTAATTCAGTAATTTTTGAATTACGAATCAAAATTCGATATTTCATTTTTAAATTATATTGTTATGTGAGAAAAAAATTAAGATAGTGGAAAATTTTACAGCTTTGCCATTGATTTGTATGGTACCTATAGTTTTAATGAAAAAGTGGAAGGGGCGAAGAACCCTTGATCAAAATAAATTGTTTTTTTTTTAAGTAAAATTAAAGCTTTATCATGTCAGAAAAATATAAATTAAAATTCAGTAAACGAAACACTCACTGACTCAAATCGTGGTTTATTTATTTAACCCAATTTTTTTTATCAGTAAATTGGCTATTATGAAATAGAGATTAGTGGAGGAGGGTGAAAATTTAGAGTTGTGTGCATTTTTTAATTCCGCATTATGAACATTAGAATTAAAACAAAATTGATCCAAAAATTTAAAAAAAAATTAGGGGTGGACAACCCTTGATAAAAATAAAATATTTTGAAGGAAAAAGAGTCCCATGTATTTTCTAATTTAGAATTATAACTAGTGGGGTGGGTGGCATCGTGCCTTAAGGCAAATTGCTGGAACTTCCCGTACCGTAACGAAACGTTCGAGGAATATTGAAGGTTTTCAAATAGATTATTATAAATATTGTATTATTGTCTAATATTTATAATAATTATATAAACTGAATTGCAGAGTTGAAATTATTTGTTTAAAGTATATTAGAACTATAGTCAGAATTAAAAATAAAATCTGAATTATTTTCGATATACAAAAATTAAAAATAAAAAAAAAAAAAAAAAAAAAAAAAAAAAAAATGGTACAAAATTTTTTTTCCAAAATTAATTATTTTGTTAAGACAAGCAGAAAGTTCTTTGAATCAATTGAATCGGACGCTTAGTTCTCTCAAAAACTGCCATTTTTTGTACATTTAGCTCTGTTTCTCCGAAATGGCTGGGCCTGCCTTTGCGAAAAACTATAACCCTTTCTCCCGATCATTACTAATGGAATGTTTTTTAGATCATTCAAATCGGATGCTCCGTTCTCTCAAAAACTCGATTTCTATTTTCTGCACTCTTTGCTCCTTATCTCCGTAACTGCTGGACCTGTCTTTGCCAAAAACTAATCAGCTCTTCTCCTTATTAATAGGAATCGAATGTTTTTTAAACCATTCAAATCGGTTGATCCGTACGCCCGAAAACGTGGACGAAAATTTGTATCCATACATACATACACGCACACACACACACACACACACACACACATCCATTTTTTCTGAGGTATGCCAAAACGTTCAGAAACCTTCAAAACGTCGAGAAATGTAAAAATTTTCAATTCCGATTTTCGGCCCATTACAATAACTTACCCTACGGGAAGTTAAAAAAATTAAATAAAGAAAATTGACCTCATAATTTTTAGGGTTTGACAAACCCTTGATAAAAATAAATAGTATTTTGAAGTAAAAAAAAAACTGAATGTATTTTTCAATTCTACAATAAAAAAAAAATACAATAAAAAAATTGGTCCTCATAATTGAAACAATGTGCTAAGGTTGGACAACTCTTAATAAAAATACATTGTCTTTTAAAGTAACATTTAACCATTTTCATATAGTCAACTAAAATTATGTCAAACAAAGGTCTAACTAAAACTAAAAAAAATATTTCCAAGATTTAAAAAAACATGGGTTGGACAAACGCTTGATAAAAATAAATAATATTTTAAACTAAAAAGGGTTCTATATATTTTTCAATATCAAATTATAGAAAATTAAAATATAGAAAATTGGTCAAAAATTTTTTAAAAAATGTTAGGGGTGAAATATCCTTGATAAAAATAAATAGCATTTTGAAGTAAAAAGAGTTGTATATATTCTGTCAATTCCGCATTAAATAAAATTAAAATAAAAAAAAGTTGACCCCAAAATTAATAAAAGTATTAGGATCGGACAACCCTTAATAATAATAGATTCTATTTTGAAGTAAAATTTAAGCTTTTTCGTATATGTACTCAAAAAAATCTTTAATAAAATTATGTCAAACAACGGTCAGATTAAAACTAAAAGAAAATTGATTACAAAATTTTAAAAAATTGTAGTGGACAACACTTGATAAGTCTCTATGTCAAAGATATTTATTGACTGAAAAAATAATTGAATTGCTAAAGTGGCTATAAAAAATAGGGGTTGGTGGTAAAAAAGTAAACATTTTAGGTTGCATGTATTTTTTAATGCCACATAATAAATTTTTTTTAAAAAAAATACAAAAAAAAACTAAACTATCACTTAGGGATATAAAATTTAGATAGTTACCGATTCTCAGACCTACTGAATACGCATAAAAAATTTTGTAAACACGAGAATTTTATATATAAGATATATAGATTAACAACACACCAAATCTTAGTAAGTTAGAATTTTAATTTTATATAATTCGAAATTGAAAAACACATGGAACACTTTTAACTTAAAAAAAACTATTTATTTTTATCAAGGGTTGTCCATGCCTAACTTTTCTTTTGAATTTTGGAATCAATTTCTTTTAATTTTAATGT